CACACACACACACACACACGTTCCTGGAAGTGTCATTACCTGGTTGGCTCCTCAACGCTGTGAATGTTCCACAGGACACAGGAGTCATCCATTACAACGATGAAAGGCCAGACACACTGCCGTTTGACTCCCAGCTCCTCCAGGCGATTCCTTTCCAGTTCTAGATTGTGGTACGACAGTTCCTTGATGAGGAACCTGGCAGCACCTGAAAAGCAGACAACCACAGCTTGACATCCTTCACCCAGACCAGTCACATGACCTCCACTGGCATCCAGGGATGGGGCATGCAAGAGAGAAACTGAGAGGACCCTAGTTTGGTTCCTAGCACCCATGTCAGGCAGCACTAGGGGGAATTTGATGCTTTATAATGTGTTAAAAATCTCCAAAAGAGTCACTGGAAATATATTTTAAAATACAGATTCCTGGAGCCCATTACTAGAGATTCACTTGAGTTAAGTCTAGTGAATGACCAGAAACAAATCTGAGGAATATACTTTAAGAATTCCATTTCCCTGATGTGACAAAGGACACAACACACAGCAAATGATATTAGTGACTAGGGCCTTGCTCTTAGAAACAGCCACCTGCACGTTCATCAGAGAGGAAGACTTTAACAGCACCTCTGGCAATTCTGGAAACAGGCACCCATCCTAGATCTGAATTGTGCAAAAGATAGGCTAGAACAGTAGATATGTGGTACAGAGCAAGAGAACAGGCCAGAGACAGGCTGCCTGAGGTAGCCATGCGACTGAATGAGTTCATTCTATTGAGCTTTGGCTTCCTCCCCTCTAAAGAAGTGATGGCGAAGTTGAATGTGGTCAGCATGGTGGTTATTATGTGACATGCACTCCATGGAATGTTAGTAGTAAGTAAGAGAAATTAGCTAAACCTTATGTATTTGTTTTATTATTACTATTGGTTTTTCAAGACAGGGTTTCTCTGTGTAGCTTTGGAGCCTATCCTGGAGCTTGCTCTGTAAACCATGCTGACCTCAAACTCACAGAGATCTGCCCGCCTCCCCAAGTGCTGGGATTAAAGATGTGCACTACCACCCAGCTAGCTAAATTTTATAAGTGAAACAAAATGTAGATTATAACAAAAAGGGCTAGTTAGTGTACGGAAGAACCCCAAACAGGGTAGCTCAAGGCAATACTAGAACTTAGGAACATTTCCCCTCAAGAGTCTGTGTTTGCATTCTCAGCCCAGTATGGACCACACAGGACAAATGGACAGCAACATGGCAGTCAGTGAAGAAAGAGCAAAGGTTTTCCGGCTATGGTTGGAAAACAAGAAAATGATGTCTAGCCAGAGCACATAGGCAAGAAAGGGAAAATGATCTCAAACAGAAATAGTAAAACGATGTTCCCCAGCAATATAGCAAATGTGGAGAAAATACACAGGAAATTGTTAGAACTAATAAGAGAATTCAGCAATTTAAAAGGAACAGTCTCAGGAATTTAATTCTGTTATAGCATGAAAAGGTAGAATACTTAGAAATATACTTAATCAAGGAGGCAAAAGATAGTACAATGAGAAACACAATATTGAAGAAAATAAAAGGATATGCCAATAAATGGAATGATGCCCAATGTTCATAGTTATAAAACACATTTTATAGATTACCGTATTTCAAAGGATCAGTAATATAATGCAGTTACTATTTTTTTCATAGAAATGGAAAAAAATCTATCCTTAATGGAATTGGAGGGTACCTCAAATTGTAACCAAATTGGAAGTCTTACTGATGTAGGCAATGAAATAGGTGAAAATAGATAAGTTGGGTTATATCAAACTAAGAAGCATTTGAAGCAAAGGAAATAACAAAGATAAGGCAATCTAGGTAAGAGAGAATGTACAGAATGGGACAAAATATTTGCAGATTACTGATTCAACAGGGAATTAATATCTAGGGTACATAAGGAGCTCAAAGAGCTGAGTAACAAATAATACAGCTAGAATGTGGGCTGTAGCCAGGAGGTGGTAGTACACGCCTTTAATTCCACCCAGTACTTTTAGTTAGAGGCAGGTGGATCTCTGAGTTCAATGCCAGCCTGGACTATAGACTGAGTTTCAGGACAGCCAGGACTACACAGAGAAACCCCGTCTTAAAAAAAAGGGGGGGGGAGAAAGAAAGACAGAAAAAAAAAAGCAAGTGGCTGACTTGGATTGATGGTGCACAACTTTACTCCAAGCACTTAAGAGGTTTAGACAAGAGAATCAAAACTGGTCATGGCTACCTAGCAAGATGTCTACAAACAAAGACTCCAAATAGCCTAGAAGTACATAAAATGCTCAGCATCACTAACCATCAAGGAATGCAACTCAAAACTACAGTGATAGCATCTCACATTGAAGTAACTAATCGATGCTGAGAAGAATGCAGAGGAAAGGGATCTCTTGTAAGCTGGTGGGGCAACTATTATAGAAAATGTGCACAGCCCTACCTAAAGCAAACTGAACCTGGAAGTGCCATGTGAGCCAGCAAGTCCACTGGTGGGCATATATCCAAAAGAGATATAACCATTATACTGAAGAGACACTTGCAGCTCCATTTCTAGTCACAACATCTTTCAGTAATGAGATCAACCTAGATTCCCATAGATAAACACAATATAAATAAAGTCATGTGCTACTACCGCCTGACTACATGTAGGTTTTTTCTTTTTAACAGACTGTGGCAAAGAATCTCAGGCTAAGAATGTCATCAAGTATTTCAAATGCAAGAAATGAACAAAAAATTGGCTTGTTAAAAAGCTGGGTGTTGTGGTGCACACTTTTAATCCAAGCACTCAATAGGCAGAGGGTAAGTGGATATCTGAGTTCAAGGCCAGCCTGGTCTACAGCAATTCCAAGACAGCCAGGGCTACACAGAGAAGGAACCCTGACACTTGTACACTTGTAGCAACATGGATGAAACTGAAGGTTGGTACATAGGTGAATCCAGCCAGAGACAGAAGAACTCAGAAACTGAGAAGAGCTCAGTGGAAAAGCTTGGGAAGGACAGAGAGGAAGAGGTGCGGGGGAGTCTAGCAAAGAGCCCCAACCAGGAGGAGTTAATTCTAGTTTTCTGTAGCATAGTTGATGAACTTGGTTAAAACAACACTATACATATCAAAATGACTGGAAGAATATAAAACTCCAAATACATGGGAATGATTCCTATTTAGAGAAAGTATGGACACTCTGATTTGATTATATGTTACATACATTATCATAGTCCATACAAGTATGCAAATATGTCTGAATTTTTTAAAAGGTGCAGGTTTTATACTTCTTCCTTTTAAAACCTAAAGTCATGTGTTAGTGACATAAAGACGGATCTGTAGAGAACCGAGAAATAAACCCTGTCATATATGACAAGGGTGCCAAGGCCATTCACGGGGGAGAATATGTCTTCTTAACAATAGTGTTGGAACATCTGGATACCACATGGAAAGCTAAAGTTTCACTCTTACCATACAATAATTAATCAAAATACTTCTATAACCTAAATGCTTTCAGTTCCTTGACATGACTAGAACTTGCCTTGTGCCCTTAGCAGGAGACACAGAAGGGAGCCCTCTAAATCTCATAACATTGTCACCTCCCTCCCTAGGAACATTTCTCATGGATACATTCTGGCCCTAGAATGTCCAGCCCAGGAACATTGGGAGTCCACTCTACGAAGACTCCCTGTCCCATCCCAGGGTGTTCAGTATTCCAGAGACTTAGTCCTTACTGGTCCTCATAAGTTAAAAATTCTGTAAACTTGAACAAATATGTTAGGGTCTACAAGATTACAAAATGGGAGAAGGAAGAACTCAGAATTAAAAGTTCCATGGTCAGGAGGACAAGTCCTGGAAGGACGTTTGGAAAATGAATTCCCATCGCCTTCCCTATCTTACCCACGCCTGCATTATTGAACATGCCGGGAAGCACTAGCATGATGTGGTTGGGCCAGTACTTTCGGTACAGTGGCATCTCGTATTCTTTAACCACCAGGAGGTGAAGATGGCTGATGCCCTCCATGGCATGGAAAAGGTTCAGGAGTCCGTGCTCGTGGCGACCACTGGAAGGAGTGAAAATAGGACTCTTGACTGCATTTAGGTTCTGTGAAAGGAAAACAAATGAGAGCAAAATGGGAAAGTAAAACCCTTAGATGTGAGAATTTTGGAGGACCCCACTTAGGGCCCAAAAGCCCTCACACCCCAAAACTCTAGCCCACCTTGTCTGAAACCAGGGGCAGCCGCATACTTTCCAGGTGTCTACCCTGTTTGCTGAAGACAAAATGACTCTCTTTGGACTTTGGAATGATGAAATAGAGCTGGACTTCTTCTCCCAGCATAGAAGAAGAAAATGTGAAAGCATGGAGGGTAGAGTCAGATATCTAGATTTGCAAACAAAGAGAAGGATGGTCAGTATATGGTTTCCTGACTTCCAGGCCATTCTTTAAGATTTCTGACACAAGCAACCGCCATGAGTAAGTGCCCTCAGACACTGTGGCTGTGAGGGGCAATGTGCAAAAGGCTTTGTCATTCATTCCCTAGCTGTCACTGCTGCAGGAACCAAGTGTGGAGCCCCGGGAGAGTCTCTCCAAGAGTAAGTCACTCTTGGCATAGTCAGTCTTTATTCCTCATAAACTTGACAGATGCTCAGTCTTCAAGACAAATATTCCTCAAAGGCCCCAGTACAGGGGACTCTCCTCTGTGAATCAGAGTGGACACATTAAGTTTCAACTCTTAGAGAGTAGAGAGTGGGGCTAGAATTAAAAGCGTGCCTGTGGCTCCATCTTTTCTGGTTATAGTGGACAGTGAAACATTTCCAACATTTGGTGCAGGACTTTGATATCAGGGAAAGACCACCTGACTCATAAAAGCCAAGTATATCTAACCTGTCTATGAAGGTTGCTGGTAAGTTCACATGTCCAGGAACCCGTCTCCATGAATAAGTGTAAGATAACTCTTTATGGGCTATACAATGAAGCCAATAACTGATTTAATAGATAACAAATTTTCATCAGCACCTAAAATCCAGGTAGATTTCCTAATAGTTTTAACCTAAATATTAAATTTCAGAGAAAAATAATCAAAGTTCTTCCCACAAATTCTAGTTCCACATCACAAATGAGGGGATCTATTACTTGTACTGTAGTCACACAGAAACTATGTCAGGAAATTTCTATGTAGGAAATTTCTAAACACATAATTTATAGGCCAAGGCACTTGTTTCTTCTATATCCTGTGAAGAATTGTGAACAGGGCCAGTGGGATAGCTCAGCAGGGCTTGCCACCGATCCCTAGGGCCCACAATGGAGGAGTGAGGGGACCAGCTCATACATGCATGCGCGCGCACACACACACACCGCTTACAGAATTGTCAACAAACTAGGAACCTTCCAAGAATGGCTACAACAGTGACTGGTTGGGGAATTTGCACAGCACAGCCTAGAAGCATCAGGGTCCCAGGTACTCAGGGCCAAGACATAAAAGTCAAGAAGAGAGATGGGGAAATGACATGGAGCTTCTCCCCCAAAGTAGGGGCGCTGCTATAAACACTGCTGTTTCCTCCTTTTGTGTGTAAAGATGCAGTAGGCAGAAAGATGCCAAAGGGGCAGGGATGCTATAATGTCTAACAATCATTTTCAAGGCCCCGAGATGGATCCCTAATGCCCAAAATATGAGAAAACAAACCAGGCACGGTAGGCACGCCTGTAATTCCATTCAGTATACAGGAGGATTGTGAATTCGAGGCCAGCCTGGAACACTGAGCTCCTGTACTAAGAAGCACATCGAAGGAAGAGACAATTGCTAAGTAATAGTTTATATTCTGTTTTTCTAGGGCCTGAAGCCAGGAGTCTCAGGTTTCATCCTCCCTGTTCCCCGTATATACATAGTGGCAACAGAGCTCCCACAAGGGCAAACCGGGCTGCACCTGGGAGGTGGGCGTGAAGTCCATGTATTGGTGGCACTGTTCACAGTGGTGGAAGGTGTTGTAGGCCGCATATTTGGTCAGCATCATAGACATGGTTTCTCGTTTCCGGGACTCCTCAACTTTATATTCCTTTATTACTTCTGTGTATAAGGGGATGAAAAACTGTTATCTCTATGGCATGCACATAAAGCTTAGAAAGAAATGTTTATTTCTCATACGGACATCTCAAAGGACTATATATATATGTTCTTTTTCGAGACAGTGTTTCTCTGTAGCTTTGGAGCCTGTCCAGGAACTCACTCTGTAGACCAGGCTGGCCTCAAACTCACAGAGATCCACCTGCCTCTGCCTTCCATGTGCTGGAATTAAAGGCGTGCGCCACCACTGCCTGGCTCAAAGGGCTATATAATTTGAGCCCTGATAAGCAAGTTTAAAAATCAAGATGTATGTGTGTTCATGTGTAAGAGTGAAAAATAGAATTACTCCCTCCCCTACTCGAACCCTGCTTTAGAGTCCCCTCAAAAACTTCATAGCCCAGCTCTGCATATACCCACCTTGTTTGAGCCCAGCCAGCCTCTCAGTGTAGACGAGGCTCATCAAACTGTACTTGGGGTCATGCACACTGACGTCAAAAGGCATTTTGCTGAAGGTCTCAATGTCAGGCCAGGGCTCGCGCTCTGACTTGCTCACTCCGCAGGTTTCATTGTGATCTAGGGTAGGGCAGGGTACAGGAGAGGTGGACCCACTTTTTCCCTCCTTCCCACCACTCTGAAGCACAAAGCTGGGACATTGTGACAAAGGCACTTTTAAGAAATGAGCTCTGCCTTTTTTTGGTTTTATTTTTAATTAACTTATTTATTTTAAGGTCCTGCATGTGTGTCTGTATGAGGGGGGGGGCAGATTCCCCTGGAACTGGAGTTAAGACAGTTGTGAGCTGCCACGTGGATGTTGGAAATTGAACCCTAGTCTTCTGGAAGAGCAGTAAATGCTCTTAACATCTGAGCCATCTCTTCAGCCCTGAAACAAGTTCTTATCCCAAAGTAGAAGGAACCAGAACCATTTCTTCAGACTTGCTGGGAAGGGTATTTCCCCTTACTCACCCTGAGTAGTTCACAGACTCACACTAGCTCAGTTCACAAACGCCTAACCCGTAAGACCAGAGTCTCCCGGTGCTCCGAAACACATACTTATTTGGATGATCAAAATTCTCAGCTTTAACTCTGGGATGATTCTGTTATTGTTCTGTCTACCACTGAGCCATGGCCCTAGGACTGTCTATAAAAATTTGAGACAAGGATTGCTAATCTTGGTTGTCAGTTTGACTGCATCTGAAATCAATTAAAAAACCCATGCAGCTGGGCACACCTGTGAAGGATTTTCTCGACTGGATCATTTGAGGTCAGAAGATCCACCTTAACTCTGGGCCACACCTCCTGGTGGCAGTGTACATCAAAGGATATGGAGGAAGGGATCTTTTGCTTTTTGCCTGCTTGCTCTCACTCTTGCTAGCAAGCTTATTTATCCTGCTGCTGAGGCATTACTTCTTACTTCTTTTGGATTCCAATGTAGACCAAAAACCAACTGAGAGATCCAGCCTGTAAACTGGACAGCTGTCAAATTCTTGACTTTTTTTTTAAAGATTTATTTGTTTGTTTGTTTGTTTATATATACAGTTTTCTGTCTGTATATATGCTTGCAGGCCAGAAGAGGGCACCAGATCTCATTACTGGTGGTTGTGAGTCACCATGTGGTTGCTGGGAATTGAACTCAGGACTTTCGGAAGAGCAGGCAGTTTTTAACCACTGAGCCATCTCAGCAGCCCCAGATTCTTGACCTTTCTATCAGGAGACAGCATTGCTGGACTAGGCAGACTACAGCCTGGAACCACTCTAACAAATCACCTTTTAATATATACAGACCCATTAGAGAACCTTGACTAATACAGGTTCTCAATAAGTTGACCAGGTCCCAGGCAAGCCTTGATGACACCCCCTCCTGCCTTAACTGGGATTCCAGCCTGGTGAGTAGGCCTGAAGCTGTCTGAAATTTTAGGATGCAGTATGTTACATCTTCATCCCCTCCCACCGCTCACAGATCCCCTAGAGCAGTGAAGTCAGAATCTTTGCCCAGGCACTGCTGTAGCGTTTGGGCATTTGCAGAGCTTGAATCCTTGTCCCACACCTTAGTACTTTATGACTCTAGGCACAAACTCATCCCTTAATGTGCCAGGCTCATGCAGGTCTTAGAGACTTGAGGAATGAGGTATTTCAGGTGCTAAGACAGCAGCAGGTACATAATATGTTTACAATAGATGGTGTTTATTATTAATAAATATGTAAGTTCAGAATGCAACCAATGACTAGCTCAGTGGGAAACGTGTCTTGCGGCCAGGCCTAATGACCCGAGCAGAGTCCTCAGGAACATGTGCTGGAAAGAGAAAACTGACTCCCAGGAATTGTCCTCTGACCTCAGTCCATGTGCCTCTCTTGTGCACATGAGAAAACGTAAGGTTTTTTTTTTTTTAAAGTAGCATAAACTACTTTGAGGAAAAGTCCAAGATTAGAAGTATAGCTATTACCTTTTAAATAGAAATAACATTTGATTTTTATGCTGACTTATTCCTTGAACTGCAGTTGACATTTTGTTTGTGGTCTCAGACATGTTCTATTCAGGAGGCCTTCTGCCTCCCAGTGCACTTTTAACTCAACCGTCACCAGAGTGATGGAAAAAGGAGAAAGCTAGGCCCTTCTGCTAGTGACAGCCCAGGGGGACACTGCAGCATCTCTATAGCAGCAGGCTGGGTAAAATCAAAGGCTGTGATGTCTAGGAGCACAGTGGGGCTGATGAAACACCTTGTGCCCAGCAGCTTGCTGCACACTGGAGAGAGGCCCCAGAAGCTGAGAACCACAGTTCACTTGGAATTACTTGCTGAGTATCTTGTCTTTAATCTCATGATAACTCTGTAGCTTAACTACCCTAGACATTCAGAGGGTGAAGCAACCTTGGCTCTTGGGTCTCAGGCCTTGGCCATAGTGTCAAGCCTCACCTGTGTTTATTTCCTCCTCATCATACACGTCCACCTCCAGCAGCCGAATGAGCATGCGGAAAAGGATCCTAAGGAACTGTAAATAGGAGCCAGTCTTTCCCACCTGATGGAGATATTTTTAATTGAGGAAGGGTGGAGGAGGGTGAGAGAGGGAAAGAAGGAAGAAAAGAGATTTCTTTCACACTTTGGCTCTTTAGCTGAGGTCGGAATGAGGTCTTCTGCCACCCTTGCCAACCCCCAAGTTGTTGTCCCCCTACAGCCAAGACAAAGCCTGCCCTGTTCCTTCCCTACCTGGGGGGGGCCAGTGAGCAGCAAGCGCCTCGGGTGCAAGGTCCGGGCGCCTGAGGCAGGGTCTGGCTGGTTGCTGTAGTCAGCGTGGTGCTGTCGGGCAGAAGTCCACTGGCGGTAGTAAAGGGACTGCTCCTCGCTGCCCATGTCCTTGTGCAGGCCTGGCCGCAGGGAGCTCACCCAGGCCACATCGGCATGGGGTAGCAGGGATGAGGAGGGTGGCAGCCTACCACCCTTCTGGGATCCCAGCAGGCTGTATGCAGCTTTGGATAAGATCACCACTGGGGGCAAGGCTGTGTGCAGACCCCGGCAGCCTCTGGAGGGCTGCCCTGACCATGTAAGAGCCTGGGCACTCGAGGGTGAGGTCGAAGAAGGCTTGGAGGTGGTGCTGCTGGCCACTGGAAGGCCCAAGGAGTCACACTCCTGCTTCAGGCTCTCCCCAACCACAGCAGTGCTGGCGGAGACCCCTTCATTCAGCTGGACGCTGGAGGTCAGCGGCTGCTGCTGGGATTTGTCAGCTGTGCTGGAGGAACTCACCCCGTTCTCCATGATGGAACCTGGAAGAGGACAGTGGGGCTTGTCCTACTCTCAGCCCTCCCCAATGTCCAGGTCAGGAGTTAAAGGAAAAAATCCAAAAAACAAGCAAACAAGAAAGCTTTAGGTACCGCAGATAGCGGTGGAATGTTTTATCTGCCTGGGTCTCTAGATCGCCGCCTCCGGCTCCCTTGCCCTGGCTGGTGGGCTGCTGTGGCTCATGGGAGACACCAACTAGAACTGTCCCCTGGATTCCTTCCCACATTGTCTCCTGGATGGAAGCCAGGCAGGCCTCACAAGGCCACTTTGCCACCCGTTGTTCCTTTTCTAGAGCCGTCCCACATTTCTGAAGTGTCCCCCCACCTCCTCTTTCAGATGGCTCCACAGTCAAGTCCTTTTTGGTGACACTTGCTGCCTTTGTGGGCTGAGAGCCTTCCACTTCTGGTGAGTTCTCCAGTCTAGAGCCATTTCCTAAACCAGGATAGGGATGTCGCCATGGGAGCTGTTAGAAAGTAGACCTACTCCTGCTCTGGTGGATGAACCTCTAAATACTCATGGCTGAAGGCCCTCTCTGTGCCACGCAGTTCTAATCCCAGCTATGGGAGACCTTCAGTTGTTAAAATAAAACCTCTCTCGGGCTAGAGAGAGGGCTCAGCTGTTAAGACCATATACTGCTTTTTCAGAGGCCCCAAGTTTAACTCCCAGTACCTGTGTCAGGTGGCTCACAAATGCCTGGAACTCCAGCTCCAGAGGATCCAATGCCTCTGGCATCTGTGGGCACAGCATTCATGTGCACACTCCCCACCCTGGACACACACACACGTACACAGAATTAAAGATAATAAAAATACTTTTCTGAAAAAGAAAGCCTCCTTACTGCTCCTGTGACTGGGAGGCTTCCAACTGTTGAGATCATGGTGCCCTACTCTTATGTTACTCCATGTTGTGTATCTAAAACAGTGCTCCTCTCCATCTTAGGGGAGAAGGATGATTGCAGCCCCTGCGTGGGCTGAGAAACTGGACCTTCTGTCGGTCACCACCCATTCAGCACAGAATGACCAATAACTTATTCCTGGAAGGCCAAGAAAAGAGTACGGGTCACTCTTGTCTGGCCTAATACTGCGATGGCGTGACCCCACACCAGCCTGTCATCTGATACATGTTGTGTACATCAAGGACCAAGGAGTCCCTCTTTATTCTTAAAGGTTTGGGCCGAGCTTCCTGCTGTTGGCACAGCCTGCCTGTCTCCCTGTTCACTACCTGGACCTGAACTTAACTTGTCCCTTTCCAACTTCTGGTCCATTCCTGCTCTCGGACACTGGTTCAGCCTTCACCTGGCAGTCACGCTCCACAGTTAAGACCTGACAACAGTTCCCTCCTGGCTTTAGTCTGGTTTTTGTTTGTTTGTTTTTGTTATTTTGTTTGTTTGTTTGTTTGTTTGAGACAGGGTTCTCTGTAGCTTTGGAGCCTGTCCTAGAACTAGCTCTTGTAGACCAGATTCGCCTACCTCTATCTCCAGAGTGCTGGGATTAAAGGCATGCACCACCACTGCCCAGCATCCTGTTTGGTTTTAATTCAGACTTTTTCTCAGCCCACTTCTGAACCCTCTTGAACTTTGCTGCAACCTCTTTAACCTGTTTTGTGACCCTTTTATACACGTCTGTAGACACACACACACACACACACACACACTTTACTGTGTGCTGTGTGATAGGAGAGTAATATTAGTAATTAAGATTAGAATAAAGAGTCTGTGTTAGTCGGGCAACCAAGGAAGGCAGATTATATGCTAAGCCGCTGCCACTACAATCACCAAACATTGTGAGTTTGTTAGCAATAAATTCTGACATTGTGGAAAGGATGTGTTCGTCGGTGTTTCTGGCATGGAACACTCCTGACGTCAGTCATGTGAAGGAGCCTGCCTCCCACTTTCAGCCTCGCCATCCTGAGGAAGCCCAGGCTGGGGTTAGGACACTATTGGTGCGTGGGGCAGACAGTGGAGAAGGGTGTGACTAAAAAGCCATTTGTGGGTAGCTAGAGAGACACTCCAGCTGCTAAGAAAACCTGCTCTTCTTGTAGAAGATGGGTTAAGTTTCCAGCACCCACATGGAGGCTCACAACTTAGTAACTGCAGTTCCAGGGAACCTGCTGTCCTCTTCTGACCTCCATGGGCACCAGGTGCTCATGTGGTATACCTATATACATACACATAAGAATTTTTAAAATCTCTTTTATAAAAGAGCCACTGGGAAGGGGACAGCCGTGCCCCCTCCTGTTATGTCAGATTCTGACCTCATATTCCCAAGGTCCTAGATATGACATTTCCCCTTCATTTGTTACCTTGTACTGGAATTGATGGGGATGAGGGGTTAACAAAATGACCCTGCTGAGGGAGAGTAGCTGGGCACAACCGTGAGAAGGGTGGGTCTCACGTTCCTCCTGGCCCTGGGTCACTACAGACAGGAGGACCCACGGGTATGGAGTTATCCAACAATTGCTAACAGAATCAACAGAAAAACTGGTACTTCTCTCGGCATGAGTGTGTGCATGCTTGCATGTGCATGTCCAAGTGATGCTGATCTCCGTGCTAATTTAGAAATGAGTGGGATGCATGGCTCCCTTTGGTGGTGGTGCTTCACTGTAATCTCTTCCTTGTGTCTTTATACATCTGTAGTAAGCTTTATTACTTTCATAATTTTAAAAAAAAAGTCTGAAAGTAGGGCTGCATTTACTATATTTACTAAAAAAAAAAATTTACACCAGGCCCTGTAATCAACTAGTAGCCTCCGAAAAGCCTGCAGTGTTCAAACACTTGCCAGTAAGTACTTAGGGTAACTAGCTATCCATCTATTTCTATGTCCTTCATCCAACCATTCATCCACCCCTTCATTCATCTTCCTGCCCATCCAGTCATCCATCCATCCACCCCTTCTTCTACCCCTTCATCCACCCATCCATCCATGCGCTCATCCTTATAAACATTTGTGCCAGGCACTAAGTCACCTATTACCAGCTTACAGCTTCCATTTCTAGCCTAAAAACAAGGTATTTATGCAAATCTGTGTTCTGGAGTAACTGGAAGGAGATGGAGAAGCACCAGGGAGCATGGTGCAGGCTGTGAGGCAATCCAAGCTCATGGTTACACCCAGAGAAAGTGGTGGCTGTTCAGCTTTCCTGCTTCGCATGCACCCTTCCCAGCGGCTGGAGCCTGGAGAGGAGTCCCTGGCCTTGGAGGGCCTTGGAAACCATGGGGTCTTTTGGAGGAGAGCTCTGACCTGAGGTTCCTGTGACAGCGCTGCTGTTGCTCTGTGGTCGCTCCAAATCAATGAGCAGCTCCTCAGAGTCATTTTCACTGGTGGGGGCCCTCTCAGCCTCCTTTCCACTGAGGTCCAAGGCAGCAGCAGGCCCCCGGATGACCTCTTTTGAGACGTAGCAGCACGCCAGGCCCACCTCCTGCTCCAAGGCCGTGCGAGTTAAGTAACTTGAGTCAATTAATCGCAGGTCGCAGTACTTTAAAGACCTGTGCAGAAGGAACTGAATTAGCGACACACCCTCCCACAGAGTACTTAGCATGCCTGCAGGCCCTGTGCTCTATGGGACAGTGAAGACCACGGGCTTTAGTATTGTCTAAGTCTGCTTCACATCTTGGCTCTCTCCCCTTTCAGCTTGACTTCCTTCTCTGTGCTTCTTCTACGTTCCCAAAGTATAAAATAGAACGGAGGTTAGAGATGGAGACCAATGGCAGAAAACTGACCTAGCATGTGTGAGGCCCTGGATTCAGGCTCCAGCATCTCTAAAAGCTAACGGCTCAGTAGACAGGGCTGGCGCATCAGGCTGATGCAAGGAAACTGGCATAGCATACGGGAGCCGTTTGCGGTGTGGCCTGATGCCATGGAAACACTCAGCTGATGTTTTTACTGCTATTGCTTTTCAGTCTATAGTTCCTAGGTCCTCTGGACATCAGATTAACAAAGTGCTTTATCTAAAGATGTCTATCATCTATCTATCCACCTATCATCTATCTATAATCTATCATCTGTATGTCTCTAGATATCGGAATATATATCTATCTACATATAATCTATCTACAATCTATCATCTATGTGTCTCTATATATTTGAATATCTATCTATCTATCTATCTATCTATCTATCTATCTATCTATCCATCCATCCATCCATCCATCCATCCATCCATCCATCCATCCATGCCTTTCCTCTCAGCCTCTCTGGCTGCCTTGCTCTGAGGCAAAACCACTTTTCATGACTGTGTCCCATTCCATAACTGGAAATGTGAAAGGGGAAATGAATGAGGTTCTTTTTCTTTTGTGCCTGCATGAAACAGTTACCTCCAAACAACTAAAATTGGCTCATCAATAATTTAGCAGTTCAGCTGAGGAACTGTGGCACCACTGAGCTGGTGATTCACATCTTACCTGGGAAAAGTTTCTCCAAGAGGGTCCTTGCCAGTTAATATCACTATGCAGGGCAGACCTTCCAAGTCCTGGTAAGTCCGAGGGATCCAGTCTTCCTGGTCATTTCCTCTCCAGGTCTGTAGAAGAGATACAGAAGAAATCATTAATACTCCTCATTCAAATTTATATCTTTTTAAAATGTTTCTGGATACAGTCTTTAAATACACCAAGCTCTCTGACCACCTCCACTAAGTGTGTGGACGATGTACAGGTGCGTGCTTGTTTTTGTTCTTTGAGATAGGGTCTCATGTAGCCCAGGCTAGCTTTAAACCCCCTTTGTAACCAAGGATGATTTTGAACCCTTTATCTTTCTGCCTTCATCTAAGTGCTGACCCCACAGGTGTGAGCACCACACCCCTCTGCTGACCCCACA